CCCCATCAATAGCACAGGCTGGGTACTGGCAGCCTGGCAGCAGCTCTGTGGAAAAGTGCTTGGGGCTCCTAATGGGCAGCAAACTGGGCATGAGCCAGCTGTGTGTCCTGGCAGCAAAGAGGTCAACAGTATCCTGGGCTGTATGAACAGAAGCAGAGCCTGGAGAACTAATAGTTGCCACTCATTAGACTGTAGCTAGAAACTGTGTTCAGTTTTGGTTCTTGCACTGTAGGAAAAATAACTAAAGGAGGTAAATTGAGAGGTGTGCCACTGGGATGGTTGTGATTGGAGCACTGGCCTGGTGAAGAGAAGCTGGGGAAGCTGGGCACTTTCAGCCTAGAGAAGGGGTTCCTCTGGAGACAACTAATAACAAACCCCCAGTGCTTATGGGAAGATCACCAAGACAGAGCTAAGCTTTACAGAGTGGTATGTGGTAGCAGGATGAGAGACGGTGGGTATATGTTGAAACAAGAAAGGAAGGGTCAAACAGGTTATAAGAAAAAGTATTTTCCTCAGGAGGACAAATGAGCAGTGGATCAGGTTCCCCAGAGAGGCTCCACAGGCTCTATACTTGGAGACTTTTAAGATTTAATTGGATAAAATCCTGAGCAACTTGGCCTGGCCCTATAGCTGACCCAGAATTACCATGTTGGCCTATGGTGCTCTGTATGTGATTTTCTTGTGCTCCCTTCCAGCACAAAGAGAAGCAACCTAGCTGAGACACCCAGTTCAGTGGTATTCTTGCTGCAGGCATTACCACCAGCAGTAGCAGACATTACCATAGGCATTGCCATCAGAACACAGCAAGGGACTATTTCTCTCCTAGCTGTCTGTCTTCAGAGTTGAGCTCTGGTCTTTTCCTTTCATATACACCTAGAAAAACCACTCAGTTTTTGGCTTAAGCACTCATGCTTTCTCCAGTAATTTTCTTAACGGGCACCTCAGGATTATCCTACAATGGAGCATTTTCCTGTGCAAGCGCTCAGGATAATAAGTCTTAAGTGCAGGCTCAGTGCCATAGAAAGACAACTGCATAACATGGCCTTGTAGAGATTTCCCAATAACCACAATGCTCAGTATTTACATAATACATCTTCTGAGTGCCTAACACACTATTAGCAATCTGCATTTAATAACAGTAGGGTAATGAAGCAGCAAAATTCTCAGGTAGCATCTTATTGTTTTGCATTTCAATATTAGTTTTGATTTTGTAGCATCACTTTTCTTACACCTTAAATTTGAATTAATTTGATTTGCATGTTCTTTGGGATCTGAAAGCATTTCACACAAACTTATCTGAATACAGTTACAAAAAAGAAACAAGGTCCCCAGCAGCTGCTGAAAATTCCAGAAGGATGACAAATTCCAGTAATTTTTGTAGAGAAATAATGGGCAAAAAAAGATCAAGAAAGGATGCATTACTGGGAAGAAAAAAATAAAAAAGATGAACTGTTCAAATGTAAAATCAATAAGAAACCAGTGAAGTAGAAGTAGGACTGTATAGATGACAAGGGTAATGCTGTGTTGATACATTGCCAAAATAAAGAGATTCATTCTTTCACTCACTATTCATAAAAGAACATGAAGCTAATGCCATGAACTGACAGACAATTCACAAATTAGGATAGAAAATTATTGAAGGTACAGAAGTTAAAAAGAAACCAGGATGTTTCATTGGTGAGATCCAGGCTTAATCTGCATGAATTTTAGCAACAGATTTTGATCCTGTAAATATATCTCCAACAATGTCATGCTTAAGGTATACACATAAGTTGGCTAGTATTTTCTCATGCAATAATGAAAAGCTTGGTCTGGAAATACATAATGAGTGGAGAGCAATATTTTGACTGATTCTTTTTGCTGATTTTATGTGCAGTAGTAAAAGGAGAGGACACTAAGAACTGATCCAGACTTAAAGAAACCAGAACAAAGTCATTTAACAAGCTGTGAATGACCTCTGGTCATTTTCAGAAGTCAGATTCAGAAATATAAACTTGTCACAACAAAGAAACATCTATATCTGACTGCAGTGAAGCACAGGTTCAAGGCTGAGATGTTTAATAGACTAATCCCATTAAGATCTGTGAAGAATTAATATATACATAATGGAGTATAAAATAATCATATTTCTATTTGAATTCACTGATTAAAATACACTGGAGAGAGTGAATATGGGTCTGGTTGGCTGGGGTTCTTTTAGTATGTATTTTTCTTACATATTTTTTACTACTTTGAGTGAATTGGAAGAAATAAAGAACAAAGTAATAAAAAAAAATAAATATAAAAACCTGAAGGAATTCTCATTAAAAAAAAAGCCAACCAGTTGAACACAAGCAGATTTCCTACAAGGTGCAAGATAACTAAGGAGCAAATCTGGCAAACACAAATACACATTTCTACAGCAAAATAAGCCAAAACCTCATTATCCAAAAGTGACTTGGATTTTACTGTACCGAGAATCTGCAAAGAAAAAATGCCAAAGAAATTTAAAGTTCTAGTTTCATTTTGCTTTGATCTTGATAGCACCATTTAATCCGTAAACTGTTTTATCTATCCACTTGGATTAATTTAAAAAAAGCCAAAGAGCCACCAACCCAACAACTAAGTACATTTCCAGTTCCATTTAATACCCTATATGAAGGGAATGGTCATCTGCCTATGTGACTAGAACACAGTATCCTGAGTCAAATAAAGAAAACAATTTTTTGGCAATTTTTTACTGCTTATATACCATGTCACAAAAGAGAGCTACTGAAGTACACATTTTTTAATGACACTTACTCAAAAAATATTTCTGCACCTGCTGAAATCTATGCAAATGCATTGGCATGAATACAACTTGACATAGATTAACTTCTGCTGATTCACCACGATCAGGATTTCCCCCTCAACAAACTCTCCGAGTCGGAAAGAATTACCTACAAGGAACAATGTGCCAGCACTGCAAATAGCAGGAAGAATCTCCTGACATGAGATGCATTAGAAGAATACACTTCCTCAAGGAAAAAGCTGGGTAATGTTTTGGGATTTTTAACATCTGTATGAAACATAAACACAAAGCATTCCTACATATACTGAAATGGAGGTAGCAGTCTACTGAGAGTGCCTACACCTGAGACTTTAGTGGCATATTTTCAGATATTTCAATCTGCTTAAAGGAAACAGTAGAATCAGTACTGCCATAAAAAACAGTTTGTCTAAATCTTCTTTTAAAGCTTTATGGTTTGTTTTAACTTATCGCTGAGGTGCATGAGAGAATATGTGTATATTCTCTTCTCAGTTATAGGTTTGTCAAAGCAATATAATCCTTTGCCTTCACTTCATAAAATGTTGGTTTTCCAGAGTATTGCTTTTTTTAACCGCAGTCTCAGAAATATATAAAAAATGGGAAAAATTAAGGTGATGGAAATATAACTCGTACTTGTTATGGCAGTTGTTGTTGGTTACTTCCAGAAAGATGTGTGAAATATGTATGAAAGTCCTTATATGAAACAGTTTTCAGCCAAATAAAATGTGATTTAAATTTGTCATACTTACCATAAGAAGTCTATCTCCAACCTGCAATCTCCCATCTTTTTGTGCAGCTCCCCCATCAATAATCTTGGTGACATAAATGCTGTTGTCCCCAGGGATGTGTTGGTTTCCCACCCCTCCTGCAATACTGAATCCCAGACCTGAGGAAGATATTGTAAACAAAATATCAGCAAAACAATATATAACACTGTGGAAGAGTAGCATATATACTGTACAATTACAGTATTTTTTACAGAAATACTATTAACATAAGTGGGGTCAACACTCTTTGACTTTCCCTGAAAGGTCAGGAACAGAACTAAATTAAAGAAATTCATTATCATGTACAATTACAGGAAGGTAGAGACAAAAATTATTGAACCAGTGGTTATTCTCTACACTCCCTGCTCCTGGGGGCCAGTGCAGCCCAGGTCAAGAAGATATGGCCCAACTTGCCATGACTAGTAATAAAACTCTGAAGCTTGGAGTTCATTTTGTTAAATATTGGTATAAAATACATCACCATCTATCAGAACGAAATGAAATGCATTCTGATTGTTCACACAAATTGAAAAATACTTGGAAAAATCTACTGCAGGGTTTGCAACTTCATGAAGTACCACAGTGGAGGGTCAGTTAAAGCAAAAGGGAAATTGTGTAGGTGTTTGGATTTAAATCATGGGGTTTCTTTCTAGGACACAAATATCTCTGGCTATGGATACATGAAATAAGAAAGCAATAGACTTGTGTACATATATAAATTCTGTACAGTGATTTGTGAAATTCCTAGATAAACACTCAAACAGCCAAACTTTGAAATAACATCAATAATACATGCCAATATGATTTGAGAAAAGGAAGGGAAAGTAAATAGCTGTTGGGAGAAGAAAAAAAGAGTTATCTTCTTTTCCCATTGTTCTTATCCTCTGACACATAAACAGACAAATCATTGCTTTCATTTATAACAGCGTTTTTATCTCCCAGTCAGAGAAAAGACAGAAACTACTGTGCTATATTTCCATAAAATCTAATTCATACAGCTAATTCTTCATAGATCATATAGGTAATGGGAACTTCCAGCTGAACAAATAAGCTGTTACTGGTAATAACCTGTCTAGATTATTGCTCCAACCAGGGATTTCTCTCTCAGCTGTACAGAAAAACAGTTATAACTACTTAAAGAATAGTCACTAGTTATATTTATGAAATCTACTCTGTTCACTCATTCTTAAAAGAAACATGTTGGTAATAGCTGCAACTTGAGCAGTAAAATGCAAGAGTAAAAAATGAGTTGCCTGGGATTTGGCATTTTATCGCCAACTCAACAGCCAGACTGCCTGGGCAATAAAAATTAAGGGTTGGTATATTTAATGCAAACAGGTTTTCTTAGCAGCTGTATGAGTACAGAGATAAGGGGGGGTTGAGTGCATTAAATATTTCTAAATATATTTTTTTGCTCACATTATTTTCATTTTATCACTATTTTAGCTTCAAAAAGATGTGAGGTCAGATAGCATAATGGACTAGTTAATGGATAGTGACAAACCAGTAAATTACAAAAAGAAACCTCTGAATTTATATCTCTAATTGAAACCCTACTTAATTAATTAAAATGACTATTAACAATACGCATGAAGTTAATTCAGAAGTATGGGGTAATTAAAATAAAGCTTCATTTGATTTCCAGCTAAAACGGGTGATCACTGTTACTATTTATGTGCTACTGCCAGGACAACTACAAGGATAAAAAGATTATGAAATCTTCAGCATGGAAGAATTTGTTCATTACCCTGGGACTACTAACAAGACACAAAAGGATATTCTAAGAAAACGTCAAGAATGGATTTTTTCTTTAAAACATCAGTTGTGGACAAGGAATAATGACTGAATAATGTTTCTTAGTGCCATAATTATAATAATTTTGACCCACACTCCATCTGTATGGGCTTCTACCAGTAAAGTGAAGAACTGGGAGTGTTCCAGAATGATGATGGGAGAAAATGAATGAGCTAGACTGCAGCCAGAGAGCTTTCTTCAGCTCCACTGCTCACCTAGGGCATGACCTTGGGAAGATTAGGTTATGGTATGCTTTGATCCTCTTCTCTCCCCTTTATTAACACTGTGTGCTTGTAACGGGCAAGCACAGCTGCTCTTGCATTTTGCACAAAGTGGGCCCTAATTCAGCCTGGTTTTGCTGCAATATAAGCAAAGAGTAGCCAAGATAATCCCTTCCATTTTCTGCAGAGCTGAGTGGGGTGCTTAGTTTGCTGTTTTTTGAATGGTTGCATCATGTTGTGCATCACAACGGATGTAGGAAACAGTAAAACAAAAGGGCAGTAACACAGGCTGCTTCCATTACAAAAGTGAAGCTTACAGTGGTCAAAGGAGTAACTTTTCCTACTTCTTCAATCCACATAAAATGCAGATGTGCCACAATGCATGGGGCTACATCGTGTTTGTAAGCAGAGTCTGCCTTTGGGATCCAAAACCCCAGCACTGAGTATAAAAAGGTGTAAAAGAGCAGAACAAAACAGGGGGAAACATTGGGGGGGGGGGGGGGGAGAGCAAACAGAGAGTGCGTAGGAAAGAAAACTGAAGAAGAGAGATTTTCCCTGTCTTTCCTATCAATGATTTACTTTCAGTGCCTGATCATACTTCTTTAAAAGATTTCTTCTTGAGAAGAATGGGGAACGAAGCAATGATCATTTAATTTTACTTAAATGACTTCTGCTAATTGCTAGGGCAGTAGGAACTATACTAGAATAAAACCTCTGGGTAGGATTCATATGGCCAAATGACATCAGACAACTATGCTAACAAGTTATGCTACCTGTACGATAAATGAAAATTTGTTAAGAGGTTTTAAAGTATGATTCATCTCATCCCAAAGAGACATCTGAAAGAGATGAGATGAATCACACTCCTGGTTTCTGAAAGGCTGGGGGCTGGATGTGGGAAGAGGTGGGTGGGAAGATCAGTGCAATGAAAGTTCACAACCTGAGTTGAGTTTCAACTTCATTTAGACTGAAGGTTTCTGTTTAGTTTTAAGACTTCAAATCGATTTGCACAACCCTGGTGTACATCCCTCCTCACTAGCGACATCAGGTTAGTCTCGTATCAGATTCTTACTCAGTTTTAAAAACAGAGAATCATTCAAACATTTGGGAACAACAGTGCAAGATATGTTTTCTAAATGGCCTTTTTCATTTTTTCATTAAATTAAAAAAGATAAAATAAAAAATCCTATTTAATTGTAGAACATTTTCTTATTGACTCCTGTGGTTAGGAAAACATTACCATCAGAACATGCTCCCTATTTTGCTGATGTGCGATTTGCTTCACAGCAACAGCTCAGCTTGGACAGGAATTAGATGGAGGGTAAATTTAGAAAGTTGTTGAGGAAGAAATGTTTTATAATGATGGTGATGAGGCACTGGAACGGGTTGCCTAGAGAAGCTGTGGATGCCCTATCCCTGGATGTGTTGAGGTACAGGCTACACAGGGCTTTGAGCAATCTGTTCTAGTAAATGATGGGGTTGAACTAGGTGATCCTTAAAGGTCCCTTCCAACCCAAACCATTCTGTGTTTCTGTGGTTCTGTGAAGAAGAGAAGACTACTCCAACAGGAAAAAGGAAAGAGAACTGAATTTAATACTGGTATATATCCAAGTCAAACTCAGCTTTGTTCAAAATCACTGAAGAGGATAGGCCCATATATGATTGAGTCAATGTGTAAACTAGGGAAGATGAGTCATACTTTATTTCCTTCCATTTCCACTGGATACGTATTTGTAAAATTCACCTGCCTTTGGGTTCCACAAATGCTGATCATTGAGCCTGTGAATAATACCATGTGTAATATTCCAGTGAAACAGGAGACATTACTGCTATCAGAAAGAGGAAAAAGGACAGGAAAAAGAGCTATTTGATCAAAACTGGAAATTGCAGAAAAAATGCTGACAGTAACATGTCAAAGATATTTAGTCATATCTTTTCCCTGGGTTATTAGTAAGCAAAACAAAATATTTGACAGGGTAATGAAGCCATAAAAACAAGTTGCAGCCAAAAAAATTCAAGAGCTCCCCAAGTCTTAATCATAGCTATTTCAGAAAAAATATCCTGTGACTATTTACATCTATTTTGCATTATTTGCTGCACTGGATACATGTTTTCAACACATCACTATATTAGTAAAATAGTATGTTATAATCACTTTTCTGGTAAAAGCTAGGCTTGGAGGTTCCCCCTATAATTAGTCCAGAAAAGTTCCCTCGATATGATAATAAAAAAATCACTGTTTGAGACACACCGAATAAATTACACTGTAGGCATAACACTTTGCAGTAACCAAAGAGAGAGCCTAAAAGACCAACTGCAGCCAGATGATATCAGCTTTCTAATTAGAAGTGAAATTAAAGAAACTCACTCTTTATGCAAAACGGATGTTGCATTTTGCTACTATCCTGCACAGAGAACCAAGTTTATTTTAAATCAGTAAACATAACAAAGATTTTAGTTCCCAATACTGGGGAAGCCAAAGATAACAGCATTTAAGTCATAACTTTAAAATATAATTAAGAAGTGTTTGATTTGCAGGTAGTTAACCAAAACAGTGTGTTCTGGTGACATAAAATGTAGAATTCCTTATTCCTAAGTATACCTTGCCTCATAACTGACCCGTGAACATAGAGTAACTTGGTGAAGACACAACATGTATAGGACTCATAAGAGAAATATTAGGCTAGGAATAAATGAAATCTGAATGGGGATGGGAAGGTAAGCACTAGTAGAAAGAACAAATTCATCATATATTTATCATGTCGATAAAGATGTGTGTTTATAAAGTGAAGAAAAACAGGCAAAGAGAAGTCATCCTGTCTTCACCAGACCGAAGAAGGGAGTATTCAATGTAAAGGGCCATCCCATAATAACAGTGGACTCCTAGAGGGTATAAATTATCTCTCCAAAAGCTGTCAATCAAGAAAATGTCAAGAAATGTCGTAGAGGTTCGATGTACCATGTACTTTGTGTCACGCACAAGTGAGACAGACCATCTCAGCACATGCAGCCTGGGTCTTGTAAGATGTGGATGAAATGAAGAGTGAATGAAATATATGAAAAAAAATCATAACTGATTAGCTTATTCGGAGAGTTCATGAATA